TATATAGTTCTCTTTCTTTGTTGTATCTATTTCTGGTTTAAGAATTAAGGTATTGCTGGGCCTCAACACAAACTTATCAGGATTTATAGAGTAGCTTCTGGCTTTTGATTTTTCTCCAACATGTAGAATTTCATAATATGTTGGAAAATCACTTTTAGTAAAATTAAAATAAAAATTTATATCTTATTTTGCAACGTTAACACTAAATTTTCATTAATTTTATGAGGAATGAAAAACTTGAACTTAAAATTTGATATCAAAGTATTACTTAGCATTTTGCTGTTTGAGTGATAAAACTTTAAAATATATGTTTAGCTTTACTAAAAAAACTGATCATTTAAAAATAGCAATTATCACCAGAAAAAAAAGAAAGCATAACACAAATCAATAGAAATAATAGAAGTAAAAAACACATCTAAAGGATAACATTAAATACAGTTGGCTCTGAAGTAAGTTGTAGAAGAATGGAAGTATGTTTCTGGGTATGTTTTGACTACACCAACTGAATTCATTAATGAAATGCAAACAAGGATCCCTGAGAAATCATTTTGTGATGAGTGTGTTAACTGAGCTACTCCTTTCTAATCCAATTCACTAAACACCTTGCTTCCAATAATGTAAGTTATTTTTTTCCTGAAAAATATTTAGAATTCATAAGGGTGAAAAAAGAATGGATGTGGAGTTTACTACAGAAGCAAATGCAGGACAATATTAATCATAGATATAAGGATGGGTAAAGAGCTATGTGTTTAAAGTTGAGAAGAGAGATCGACTAAACTTTTGTATTCAATAAAAATGTCCTTCCAGAAAGAGCATTATCACTTGGAAGAACAAAAATTGCCTGTTTACAGCCAAAAAAATGAGCCAGATTTTGCAAATGTTCTCTAGCACTTCCATACACTGGAGATCCTATAAACTGGTTTTGCCTCTTACCCTGTAGCAACAGGATTTTGTGTTTAATACATGTATCACTATTATATACTTAGTATATTTTAGCTATGAGCCCTATTGGTTTGATTCGATGGCATTGAGAAAAGAATGAAATATGATAGACTTTAACATCCATCATAATTAATGCTACTAAACAGAGTTAATGAAGGTGTGAGCATTATTACATCCTTAGTGAAAAATGATCTCTAAGCATAGTGGGTAGGCTTATGACACATGTATTATCCAATGTCAAAATCTGGGAAAGTTTTACCTAATTAAAATAGATAGTGTTTCAGACTAGAGAATAGAAGTGAATCCTGATTTTGAAAATAAATGAAGCTTTTTTTAAGTCTCCCTTAAATTTTAACTCATTAAATTGAAAATAATTTGTTCTGTGACTCCTTTTTTTTTTTTTTTTTTTTGGTCAAGGCTATAGCAAATTGTTTACCTAAAATGCACTACGTATTCTATGGTATAAGAGTACTTTTATGGGCATATCGTAAAATGTAGCAATAATTTAGAAAAGCCTTACACTGTTAGAGTCTTTATAGTAAATGGATTCACATACATACACCTTAATATATGTAGCAACTCAATTACACATTCTAACTCAAGATGAATATCAAATTGGGTTGTTGTTTTTTTAGATTTATTTATTTATTTGAAAGGCAGAGTTACACAGAGAAGGAGAGGCAGAGAGAGAGAGAGAGAGAGACAGAGAGAGGTCTTCCATTTGCTGGTTCACTCCCCATTTGGCCAAAATGGTCGGAGCTGTACCAATCAGAAGCCAGGAGCCAGGAGCTTCTACCTAGTCTCCCACACAGCTACAGGGGTCCAAGGACTTGGGCCATCTTCTACTGCTTTCTAAGGCCACAGCAGAGAGCTGGATCAGAAGTGGAACAGCCGGGACTTGAACCAATGCTCATATGGGATGCCGGCACTGCAGGTGGCGACTTTACCTGTTATGCCACAGCACCGGCCCCAAACCTTTGTTGTTGTTGTTGTTGTTTTTTCTTTTTTTGTTTTTGTTTTTGTTTTTTTGACAGGCAGAGTGGATAGTGAGAGAGAGAGAAAGGTCTTCCTTTTTGCTGTTGGTTCACCCTCCAATGTCTGCCGTGGCTGGCGCGCTGTGGCCAGTGCACTGCGCTGATCCGAAGCAAGGAGCCAGTTGCTTCTCCTGGTCTCTCATGCGGGTGCAGAGCCAAAGGACTTGGGCCATCCTCCACTGCCTTCCCGGGCCACAGCAGAGAGCTGGCCTGGAAGAGGGGCAACCGGGACAGAATCCGGTGCCCTTCCTTTGTTGTTTAAAACAACATAGGGACAAGTGTTACAGTCAGCAGTTCCACTGCTTGGAACATCTGTATTTCATGGCAGAGTGCTGGTTTTGAGTCCCTGTCAATTCACCTGGGAAGGCAGTGGATGACGACCCAAGTGCTTGGGTCACAGTCACCCATGTGGGAGACCGGAACGAAATCCCTGTCTCCTGGCTTTGCACTGACCCAGCCCTGGCTGTTGTGGGCATTTGGGGAGTGAATCAGTGGAAAGATGAGGTATATTTTTCTCCCTCTTATTCTGCTTTCAAGTAAATTAATTAATTAAAAAACATAAATTATTAACTCACATTTCTGTAAATTCCTATGCATGTCACTGATATTCCACTGGGCTTGGCTGATTTTTGTGCTCTGGGTCTCAAAAGCTGAAGTCAAGGTTTCTGTTGGTGGTCTGGAGAGGATCTACTCCTTCTGTGAGTGGTAGAATTTGGTTCCATGGAGTGTGGGGACTGAAGGGTCTGCACCTTGCTTGCTGCCAGCTGGTCACGCTCATTTTCTAGACTTGCTTTTTTCCCTGGCTCATGGTCCAGCCACAACGAATCCACTTGGAGTGTTTTGAATTTCTCTGCCTCACCTTGCAGAATTCTCTGATGTCCTCTGATATTTAATTTTTGTATGTTACATTTATTTACTTTATAATTTGAGAAGAGGGAGTGAGAGAGGGAGAGAGAGAGAATGGGAAGAGCTGGGAACTTAATCTAGGTTTCCAACGTGGGTAGCAAGGACTGGACCATACTATTTGAGCCATCACCACTGCCTCCCATGTTTCACATTTACAGGAGTAAAGTGTGGATTGTACCTAAGTTCTCTGATCTTAATGATTGTTGCGACTAGTATGAGCCCACTGGAAAAAAAAATCAGGATAATCTGTTTTAAGGTTTACATACGTAAATAAATTTGTGAAGTCCCTGTTGCTGTATAACTTAAATATTTACAGATGGCAGGGATAGAGATTCTGAAATGGCATACAGGTTTTTTTTTTTTTTTTTTTTTTTTTTTTTTAATTTGGCAGGTAGAGTGAGAGAGAGAGAGAGAGAGAGAGAGGTCTTCCTTCTGTTGGTTTACCCCCCAAATGGCCACCAGGAGCCAGGTGCTTCCTCTTGGTCTCCCATGCGGGTGCAGGGCCCAAGCACTTGGGCCATCCTCCACTGCACTCCCGGGCCACAGCAGAGAGCTGCACTGGAAGAGGAGCAACCGGAACTAGAACCGGTGCCCATATGGGATGCCAGGGCCACAGGTAGAAGATTAACCAAATGAGCCACAGCGCCGGCCCCTAGCATACAGATTTAAGGAGAGTTTTTACCTTTTATCAAGTTTGTCAAAAGCAGTCTACATATGACTTTATTCACAAAGGAACTTTATGACAAATTATTGTTCAATAGCTTATATGGAAAGCAGAAGTAGAAGACAAGCAGTCTCTATGTTTTTATTTATATGTGACACATGAAGGCACATCAGTTTTGATTTCATTATATCAAGCCCAATGTCTATCTGGCTGACAGTTCTGTATGTGTCATTTTTATCAGTCTTTACCCATACTGCTTCACCCGAAGCACATAGTTTATCTTTCCTTATATATTACACAGAAATCGTTTCTCAGGTGATAATGCATTTACAATTCTAACATGTTTCCTGACACAAGGTAGGTATGCAGGAAGTATTTTTTCCCTTCCGTTGCTCAGTCCAGCTGACTTATTCAATGTTCTTCCTACCTTTCTTCCTTCCAGGTACTAAAAATCTACAGAAGTCTTCCTTCTTTGGCTTGACCACGTGGAGTCACTCTACTTCACATGAACTCTTTTCTTCCATGAAATATTTCATCACTTCATGGTTCAAAGTGGTAAGTGAGTATTTTGCCCTCTGCTTTTTGATATTTGTCCAAGCATGTTACGATTTCTGTAACAGAAATGATACAAGGTGAGTTTCCAGAATAAACTGCCTGCATTTTACTGTACTGTGTTCTGAGTACACAGTACCTGTCGGATAAAACTGGAACAAAGTCAATTGTTATTGCCTTTGAAAAAATGTTGCAGGAATAGGGAGATAGTTAAGAGGATGAGGAGATAGTCTTGCATTGCATGGGGAAAATGTCATTATCTGATTCTCACTGAAGCCTAGGGAGACAAGAGAAAGGATAAAATAGGTCCCAATTCTTTTTTTTTTTTTTTTGGATAGGCAACTATTTCAATAAGAAAATTGGAATTACTGATTTTTAATTCCTTATCTGAAATTCTAAACCATAAAAGCTCTGAAAACCAAAAAAGCGTTTTCCAAGCTTCTATGAAAATATTATGAAGAAATTATTGAGCCCTAAAAGTAAATAATATGAAATGTTTTATGTATATCCTTTTTATGCTGCTTGATGTACTTACAGATTTTTAGCAAGAGTGTTAATGTTTCAGAAGTACTGCTGTACACAAAGTCTGTTAAGATTAATATATGTGCAGTGTAGTACTTACTAAAATTTGAATTTAAAAATTTTGAATTCCAAAACACATTTTAAATCTTAGGTTTCATTAGAAATGTGAAATCTCACCTCTGTACAGCAGTAAGTGGCATTCTAGAATAAAATAAGGAATAAATATCTTCGTAAAGCTGAATTATACACGTGAAAAAGCTTTTTCACATATACAAAGGTTAAATTTGAAAACTGCATGTATTCCTAAGTTATAGAATCAATTTTTCATAAAAGCATATTATCAGAGGAAGAGGGAAAATGCTCCATTAAGAAAAGATTTACCGGCGCTGGCACGACGGAGTTCCGGTCCAGGTCTCCTACCTCTGCGCTGTGTGGAGGCGGTGTAGGGTCCGAGGCGGGCGGGGCAGGATGATCACGGACGTGCAGCTCGCCATCTTCGCCAACATGCTGGGCGTGTCGCTCTTCCTGCTCCTTGTTCTCTATCACTACGTGGCCGTCAACAACCCCAAGAAGCAAGAATGAAAGTGGCGCTTTCTCCGCCCTCAGGGCTCCAGGACATAGTCTGAGGCCACATGGAGGGTGTGAGGGGCCTCCACACTTCATCCCTCTGCCCATCACAGCATGCAAAGCAGCTACACCTGGAGTTTTCCAAACAACTTTTATTTCCTCAAAGTCTTCCTTAACCCTATGGAACAAGAAGCTGCCACTGACTAGGGCCCAGAGTTAGGGGCTGCTTTCCCCCACTTCTCCCCAATGCCCCTCCAATATAAAAATATAGTTATATTTTTTTTGCTCTCCAAAAAAAAAAAAAAAAAAAAAAAAAAAAAAAAAAAAAAAAAAAAAAAAAAAAAAAAAAAAAAAAAAAAAAGAAAGGATTTACCTATCTCAAATTGCCCCAAACGGTTAAATAGTTATTGAATTCCCTGTATTTTTTTTCAGAAGTTGTGCTCTCTGATCAGACTAATGGAACTCACCTTGTGTATTTATTGTTACTATGTGTCAGTATTTGATGAATAACCATAAGAAATAAGTAAAATTCTTAAATTTTTTAGTTACATCATTCAATCAGTTACCAATTGTATGATTACATTTGTGCAGTTACTCATGTAGTACGACTACTCTAGTGCACTGTCCATTCTGTGGCAGAATTTCCTGTATAATTAAAAAACCATGATAATTAATTTGATGAAAAATAGGATAATTGAATACTACGATAGGAAAGATCTGGCTCTAAGGCTTATGCAAAATATAATTCTATTGTAAAAAATAATTGACATCCATGTTTGATCTTTAAGAACATGGCCTTAATTTTTAAAACTATGCTTTAAAATTTTGAAGTTGGTTTTTTATCTGTTATGGGGCCATATTCCATCCAAATGGGGAATGTCAAAACTATAACAAATGAATTCCTCACTCTATATTAATATTCAACTTTCTAGAATGAAATCCTTCCTGGAACACCCAATACTGCATCTTTTACAGATACATTCTCTGGATATATAGTAATATACAGATTCTTTGATTCAAAACTTACATCAATATATCTTTACCTTTTATGCCAAGATCCCAGAATAGGGGACAACAACTTCAGTTAGTAAATGAAGTGTAGATGAAGCCAATTCTGTCATCTCTCTGTCTATAGAAAATATATTCTGGCAAGCGAATACAATCTCTACTTCTGTGTCAGTATAAGACACGAAGGAATGGCATACAGAAATATGCTAACGCATGAAAATTAAATATTCCATTTAAGTATATGCAACCCCATGGGAGACCAGGATAAGTACCTGGCTCCTGCCATCGGATCAGCGTGGTGCGCCGGCTGCGGTGGCTATTGGAGGGTGAACCAACGGCAAAGGAAGACCTTTCTCTCTGTCTCTCTCTCTCTCACTGTCCACTCTGCCTGTCAAAAAAAAAAAAAAAGTATATGGAACCAGCAGTTAAAGTCATGTCCACTGTCTTTCTTTCCTTTTCTTAAGTCTTATGTATTTATATATTTATTTGAAAGGCAGAGTTAGAGAAAGAGAAACAAGGAGAGAGAGAGAGAGAGAGAGAGAGAGAGACATATGTAGAGAGATCAATCAGTCTTTCATCTACTAGTTAACTTCACAAATGCCTGCAATGGCCAGGGCTGGGCCAGGCCAAAAGTAGGATCCTTGGAGCTTGATCCAGGTCTCTCACGTAGGTTCAGGGGCCGAAGCCCTTGAGCTGTCTTCTGCTGTTTCGCAGGTACATTAGCATGGAGCTGGATGGGAAATGGAGCAGCTGAGAATCAAACCAATGCAATATGGGATGCCAACATTGCAAGTATCAGCTTAATATGCTATACCAAAGCACTAGCTCTCAAGACCACTTTCTTAAAAATAGTTTTATTATAACTGTAAATGGGAATTTCTTTTAGGAATTTGTGGAGAAATATCTTTTCTGTTTGAATGGATACTATTGCCCCCTTATCGAATTAGTAGTTAAATAGAATTTGAAATTCAGTGTTTAAGGCCACTTTAAAAATCTCAAGGTAAAAAACAGTTCACCAGTTTCTTTAAATGTCAGGTGTATACTTAGCAGCAACTTAATCCTAGGGGTTTATCTAAAGGAAATGGAAATACTCATGTGTGTCCACATAAAGACTTATACACAAATGTCCATAGCGACTTTACAGTAAGGACAAAACTGGAAGTTACCTGTACATACAGCAGTAGATACCACGGGCACAGAAGTTTTGATATATTTTGGTATATCCATCATTGAACAATTACTCAGCAATGAAAGCAAATGAACTATAGATACACATTATAGCATGGATACGTCACATAACGTTGTGCTAAATAAAATAACCACACACAAGGAGTACATACTGCATGTTTCAGTTCATTTGAAGTCTTGAAAGAAGCAAAACGGATCCTTTCCTGTAGTAAAAGCTGTTCTACTGGGAGGGAGACTGTGAAGAGGTATGATGGAACTTTGCGGGGTGATGAAAATACTCTGTGTCTTGATTTCATGGTATTTACACAGCTGTATATATTCATAAATCCTTAAAATTGTAGATATAAAATGGGTGCATTTTATTGTATGTATGCTATGCCTTGAAACAGTTTAATTGTTTAAAGCTCAGTTACATTGATGACTGTTTATTCTTCAAAGAGACATACATTCACAGAATGGAAAAAATTGAAAAGAGTGTAACAGCCAATAACTCAGTCTTTATAATTGTACAGTTGATGCTATTAGCATTTGGAACAGAGGATTCTTAGGAAAAGCTTTTATTTGTTATTTCATAGGTAATAGCTAGATAAAACAAGGACTATTCATTGAGCGTTCACAATAACCACATGCAAGCTGCTTCTGTTATTATTCTCATTGTATGAAAGAAAATATGAGAACTGGAAAGATTAAAAAGTACACAGCTAGTAAATAATACCCAGTAAACCAAATCATGTCTGCCTTTAATGTAAATATTAAGACAAGTTGAAAAAAACTGAAATTAAGTTACTTTCTGCTTAAATCAGACCTCCTATTGATAGAAAGTGTTAATTATTTGTAAAGCAAAGAAGCTGTAATATTTCTTAGTAGTCAATATTTATGTCAACTCAGATCTCTTAATAGAGAATTGGTGCTAATAACAAAATTGAAAAGAATTACTAACATTGCTAGTTATGAATTGCCAGCTCTGCTACAAAAGATTCTCTTTAACAATTTATTGAAATCTCTCAACAGCATATGAGACAGAGACATTTATTACTGCTAAATTATAGGTGACTGAACTGAGAGGAAGAGTAAACAAGTTATCTCGAGGCAAGAAGGAAAGTAGTACTCAAACTGAGGATGGCCCCAGAATCTACTCTTAACCGCTATGTCACATAGAAGGTGTTCAGTTTGCACACAATCATGTCAGTAGCTTCCCCCTGCCTGGCAGAATCATGCAAAGACAGTCCTGAGGGACTGTTAATAGAGTATTGTGCAAGGCAAAGACTGCCTGCATTGCTTAGGCAAAACCTGAAGAAGACAATTAGGGTTGGGACGTGGCACAGCAGTTAGGTTGCCACTGTGACATCTGCATCCCATATTCACTTGCCTGGCTTCGAGTCCTGGCTACGGTTCTCCTAATCCAGCTTCTTGCTAGTGTGTGCTCTGAGAGGTAGCAGGTGACGGCTCAGGTAGTTTGACAGCTGCCACCCACATGGGAGAGCTGGATTGAGTTCCAGCCTCTGGACTGGAAGTAGGCCCAGCCCTGGCACTTGCGGTGTGTGGGATGTGAAGTGGCAGATGGAAGATTTCTCTCCATGTCTCTTTCTTCCTGTGTCTCTGAATTTCAGATTTTAAAAATGAAAATAAATTACTTAGAAAATATTCTGTAATTAATAAAAGCTTATTAATTTCAGTTGTTTCCATGCTATTAATAAACTGTAAAATTTATTACTTTGCAGTAGGTTATACAGAGAACTATTTCATTATAATAAATGTCTTGGTATTTCCTTTTATATGAATATATCAAAATGAGTTATATATCTTTAAAATTACTTTATTCTAAATAATTTATAGTTTTTGGACAATTTCCAGAGTTTGTAGAACTTTGACATGTATTATACATAGTAAAACAATATATCGATACTTGAAAGGATAAAGTTTGTACACAAGCTCTTTGTAAGAGTGACATAATTCCACACAAGGCATCTTATTCTGGTGCAATATTAAATTAAGCCACCTAGGGCAGAGACAAGTCAGACATATTTTCTTTTTATGAAGTGGAATGATAAAACTAGATATTATTAGAAACACACACAAGCTAGCCTGCTGTAACATATTTGATTGGGGAAAATCTTTACAATTGAACATGGATTAAAGAGTTACTTCCCGGGCTAGCACTGTGGTATAATGGATAAAGGCACTGCCTGCAGTGCCAGCATCCCATATGAGTGCAGGTTTGAGTCCCAGCTGCTCCACTTCCAAGCCAGCTCCCTGCTAAAGTGCCTGGGAAAGCAGGGGAGGATGGTCCAAGTGCTTGGGCCCCTGCACCCATGTGGGCAACTCGGATGAAGCTCTTGGCTCCTGGACTCAGACCAGCCTAGCTCTGACCATAGCAACCATTTGGGGAGTGAGCCAGCAGATGGAAAATATTTCTGGCTCTCCCTCTCTGTTTCTAACTCTGCCTTTCAAATAAATGAATAAATAAATCTTAAAAAAGTTATTTCATAAGCTAGAATTAGTAGGTAACAGTGTTGAGATGGCTCATGTTGCTTTTTCCAGGCCACAGTCTTTGACTTGTTAGTTTGATACAGACAGCCTGGGAGCCTGTGGGCCACTGTGGCCCTACTATTGTCTGTGGCTTTGGCAGGAGAGAGAAATCAGCTGGAGCCAGCCTCGTGAAAGCAAGAGGGTTTATTTAAGACGGTGACAAAGAACAGGCTACTCCACAGGAAAGGCAACTCTGTGTGTTTTGTAAGGATTGGAAAATGTAAATTAATATCTAGGTGAGATATTTATCTTATTTCTGGGAAATGGATGGTTAGTTCCAGGAATTGTAGATCCATCTCTTTTCTCTCCATATGTGGTCATTTCAGTAGTCTATCCTGGCAACTGAACTGTTTTGGCTTAGTCCTGGTGGTGGTGGTGATTTTTTACTATGCTAATGTAATCTAATGAGGGTATAATGAGGCAATTAGTCAGATTGAGAGCTAATTTGGCACCATCTTGGATTCAGCTGATTTGAAACAGCTCTTTTGCCTGTATTTTGTTTTTCCACCCACTTCCTAGTGGGTAGATTTGAGACTTGCCACACACTATTTTAAGTTGATTGTGCTTTTCTGAATTTACTTTACTGAGATTGGATAAAGCTACTGGATATATCTCTGGTACTGGTTGGCTTTTTAATTTA